AGTACTGAATAATGTAATAAGTTTCTTTGCACAAGTAAGCAATACCTGTAGACCTTTCTTGACACCATTTGGTGATTTATATAACACCTAACACCCCTTAGCAAACAAGTTCTGGTTTTAAAATTAAAATGAGCGTAGGTAAAACACCACCAACAAAAAAACCCCCAACCCTCATCCTAAAAAAAAAGTGCTTTCCAGAGGACCACAAAGAGTTGCACAATAGGGCTTCTGTAGCCGCCAAGATTATCTTGAAAAAGCAAATTCCGGACATGAAGCAACCCATCCGAGACAAGGAAAGATCAACCATTTGCAAACCAAATAAATACAGCCTGCTGCTGCTGTTGGCTACCAAATGTGACTCAGCGTAGGAGGGGAGGAGGAAGAGGCGGGATTCGGGGAAGCAGGGACCATTTACCGTAAATGAAAGCGGAAGGTGCCCAAGAATGGCAGCAATCGTAGGTGGAAAACTGCAAATGTCCCTCCAACCCCTGGGAAGAGACCCACACATTTTAGCAAAATAATTCCATACACGTTGCATGAAGGGCATTTACATTCCTAATACACGTGCATGAAGATCATTCATCTGTATGGTGAACATCAGCAAAGTAAGAGGAAAGGAGGATTCAAAGAATGACTTGTGATTCCACAGATTTCATAGAATTGTAGAGTTGAAAGGGACCCTGAGGATCATCTAGTCCAACACCCTGCAATGCAGGAAGATGCAACTGTCCCATACGGGGATCGAACCTGCAACCTTGTTGTTATCAGCAGTGTTCTAACCAACTGGGCTTTTTAATATCTCTGAGTATCTTATTGTTCATTTAAATTTTGTTAGATTTTGTAACTTGGTGGATCATGTGATACCCTGCCCCTCCATGCTATGAACCACTTTGAGCATAGTTTCCAAAGGAAAGATGGCAGACAAATAAATGGTGATGGTGAGAACTCTTTTCTTAACCTGTAGCTGCTATGAAGAGCGCATTACTCATCATCAGAAGCTGCCTGGGTGGGAGATTGCAGCTGTCATAGATGTAGTGACCAGAGGGGCAGGGCTAGACAGTGTCTTCGTACTTGCACATACCAGCATTTTGTGCATACATAAAGGCTGACAAATTCTCTATTAGGGCAGAGGTTCCCTACAATGCAATATACTGAGCAGAAACTGGGTTTCTCCTCATTCTTAGTGAATATGCATTGATGGAGACATGCAGTTCACTGAAACCCAATCCTGCAAATAGACACTTGTTCATTCATCATTGTACTTCTATTTCAGTAGCCACCACCTAATAGTCTATTCCAGTCACTAGAATGTGTAGTAACTTACCATCACAAATCGATGGCACTGGTTTGTATGATGTTAGAGATGTAAGGCTGAAAGGGATCAAAATATGAATGTAAGTGAATATTCAAGTTCAAAGCTACTCATTATTTAGACGAGGTTGCTCAAGGATGTCTGAATATGCCTTTGATATTTAAGATCTGATTTCATATATGTAACTGATATGTACTGTCTAATTTCATATATGCAATTGAAAATATAAATTTGAAAATATAACCTTGGTTAAGGCCTCGTCATCTTTTGAAAATTCTGTGACTTCCTGCCCAAGACTGTGGGAATCTATATAATTCTAAATATATTTTTAAAAACCTGGGGAAAAAATGTAAGGGGGAAATGCTTACACTAAAACCCCAGCTATAATGAACTAATGTAAAAAAGAATTCACATTATATGCAAACAACTCGTGGGTAATATCTGTCACTGGGTGCTTGTGAAACCTTTTCCTCTTTAGAAAGCTGCAAAGAAGCAAATCCATATTTAGTATATTTGGAATAATCTCACAGTAGGTTCTCAGAGTGTCTCTGGTTTTTACATAATACAGTTTTACTCTTAGTCTTCCGGGTAGCATAACAAAGTTGTCAAGACATTAATTGCTGTGATTAACTTGTGTGTGGTCTTCTTCCACACATCACATGGAACCAAGTCATTATTCAAAGTGACAAGGAGCTGATTAGAGATCCTTTTCATGTCATGGATCCCATCATTGGGAAGGTTCAGAAAGACAGATAATGTCTTGCCACTATCACCTCTGAGTATTCATATCTATTCTCAGAGTGGTTTAATAGTCAATCCCCCTTTCCAGGGAACTCTGAAAATTGTAGTTTCCTGAGGATAGTTGGGTTCTCCTAACAACTCTCACCACCTTTAACAAACTACAGGTCCCACAACCCTTGGCCGTGTTTGTGATTCCATTTAAATGATACAAGGACAATGGAAAAACTTGTCTTTGCTCAGTTTTAAATCTGTATGCTGAATGAGGCAACAGTTCCACCACTGGTCTGAGACAGGTCTGCCACTGGTACAAATATTACCCCTGTATCGACAATGCAGAATATTCCAGGGGATGAGAAAATGACGTCTTCTTCTGCAACATATTCTGTGTTGCCAAAAGCATTGGTGCTTGCTGTTGACTGTCCACCAAGGGGATAAATTTAGCTTTCTGCTATGAATACTTATTTGTTCTCTACTTCTTTTCAATTATTATCAATTCTTTTCTTTGTGCTTTCACAAATGGGGGGAAAGTCAGAGCCACAAACTGTTCAGAAGCTTAATCTGCTGCACAACCAGAATTAGATGTGATAATGAAGTTTCTGTTGCTGAAAGAGATATTGCTAACTGATGTATGTAGTGAGAAAGATGTCCACAAAACCAATACAAAGGCTATGTCAATTTTTAAACATCTTGTTCATTTTTCTTATTCAGCTGATGTCACAGCATTTGTGTGAAGATGTTCTTTTAATTAATTACGTTATATGTTGGAGAGCAGTTTCTTCAATGCTCTTATTGAAAACTGCCTGGAGATTAATAGCATCAGGAATATTCCACAGACCGATGTAAACCTATCATCCTCAGAAGGCTATGAGAACTGATGCTTTCAAAGCGGCCTGAGGGACAGCTTAGTAGTTGCAGGGATGTTTCCTATTTGTGATGGAGAAGATTTGGTGTAGCTTTTTAAAAACAAGCAAAATACTTTGAATGTTTCTTTTAGGCTTCAGATAAGCAGCAAAAACAGGAAAAGATTAGTGTCTGAGTCTCTTGAGATGTGACAAAGCCTTTCCAGCATCTTGCCAACAATGAAGTCGAGTGGCAGGCTGTTTTCTTGAAACTTTGCACAAACAGGAGTCATATAGTCATCAGACTAACATCAACAATCAGAAGGAAAGCAAAGATATTGGAATATCAAATCCAGGCATTATGTATAGGAAGTTTCTCCATTCAGTGGAATGGTATGGAATAAGCCATAAAACTAACTTAAGTTCTGTTGACTTTAAAAGGATTTCAGTTTGAGGAACACGGGTTAAATCAGAGCCAGAAAGTTGAATGTATGAAAATCACATGCACACCATACACCTAAAGCACTCATATCACTTTAAGAGTCCTGGCTTCCCCCAGAAGCACCCATAACAACCTACAGTTTCCAGGAATCTTCTACCCACCCTTATTGTGCAACATCTGAACTGGAATGCTGTACATCTTCCCCACAATGATAACCATAAACTATTTTCTATTTGCTTTCATTAGCTAGCTGGCAATTTATTTTTGCAGTATGTGCGGGCAGACCCTATTAATCAGAAGACTCAAAGTTCAGTGCCCGGAGACATGATATTCTGATCCTTCTTTATATTAAAAAGTTTGTCTGTGTTCTCACTAACTTTTTCTTCCTTCCTTAGTATTACAGTTTCATCAAGATGACAAGTAAATTGGTCAAAGATTCAAAAGGGGAGATTGGTGGCATTTGGTAACCTCATTAACCAGTGGAAGGCTGTTCCACAATAGCTCATGCTATCAGAAAACAGGTCTCCTACTTCTCAATAAATTGCATGAAATTACATGACAGCATGTTACACTTTCTTATGGTGTCAAATTATAGACATAGAACAGCAACACTTGAAAACAATATGATGCTATCTAACTAGTGCTGTGATGGAACGTGAGAAGGAGGGGGAATCATTGATATCCTTCCTTGAAATCTACCACCTTACCTGGATTGTTATAAAGAGACAGGGCTTCTTTCAGAATTCCCATTATCATTGTTAGAACACTGTTGACAGTCTTGCTGAACTTCAGGTGCATGACTAAGATTTTCTTGTTGCAGCAGACATTTTAAAGTAGTGTTTAATTTTGTGAAACATTTCTATTGTTTGAGTGTCCTATTTACTGTGAATTGTTTTTATGTTCACCTCTTACAAATGTGAGCAATTAAGTGGTATATAAATGTCTCAGATAAATAAATAATAAAACCCACTTTATTCCCTGGAAATGGGGAGACTGTGGTGTCTTTATGATATATGGTTTATTTACACAGATATACAACCTGAGCCGACAATGGAGGGGTTCCCAGCATTACATTCCAAGTGCACCTCTTGCTTCCCTTTAGGGCCAGCAGCCTTGGATGCAAAACAGAAATCAGCCATGCTCTCTGCCTCCTTTTACAACCCATCCCAGTTTTGCTAACTCATAGCTGTTAACTGCAATCCTTTAAAAAAGGAACATGGGCCTTTTGTCTTAATACCTAAAACCAGGGCCTAGGGAGGGGCTTCACCCATTTGGCTGTCTAGCATCAAATCTCCTCATGGTCTTGTCGTGTCCCTCGAGGGGGGGGGACTTAAACACAATGCAGAGTTCCCCCCCAAAAAAATAGACTAGAGACATTATACTTCATCCAGCAGAGCTTTACTGCTACTGAAGGCAAATGAGCATAATGGTCACAAATCCAATACATTCAGGATTGACACAGTATAAGAAATGCAGCTGCAGCACTTACAATAAAACTTACAATACTTATAATAAGACTAAATTTTAACACAAAGCACACAGAACACCACACCAGAACAAAGAGACAGAAACAGAAAGTAAGTGAAAACCCAGGCTCCTTCTGGCCTCTTATTATAGTTAGCATGACCTTGACTGAAAGATAACAGAACCAGTTTAAACCAGCTGTACTCGGCTTCTCAGAAGGAATAACCCAAACAAGAACCTTCCAGAACACTCTTGAATTAATCAGAATAGGAAAGATCTCTACGCATCAGAGCAATACTTTCTGTACTAAGAAATGCAAACTGACAGCCCTATCTGCCTACCTTTCATTAGGTCAACAACTTTGTCATTATCAAGTGAATACCTCATGAGGAAGCTGGCTTGTGTTATTTCCAACCTTTGCTAGATCCAGGAATTTAGGGCTTTGCTTGAATTCCAGCTCTCTACTGAATCCAGAGTTTTAGGGGAGTCTACCTGCCCCCTCAGAAACTCATAACAGTATGGCAACATACGTATCAGTATGTCAACACACATCAGGATGTGATCCAACACTTATGCACTCCTGCGTTTGCAACTTTTGCCGCTTATGGAGATCAGGAACATATCCAGAAATGTCCTAAGGCTCATTTCTCAGAGTATGATGAAGCATAGAGGCAACACCAATAGAAACTATGTGTCATCTTGAAAATATTCACACCTCACTGAGGAGCTAAATGGGGACAGTAGGCTGCCCACTGTCAACACTGTTGAATGCAGTTTGTAAGAGAACCCTGCATACTGTATTGCAACTTAAGGCTCATCCAGACTTCTTTTTGTACCACGTTTCTAGACACAGGGCTGCACTTTAAAGTTCAGTGTCTGAGCACTTGTTTGTTTGTTTGTTTGTTTGTTTGTTTGTTTTGACCAGGTGATTTCCCCACGAAAGCCATCTCTTTACCGCTGGAAACAATTCTGTGGAAAACCTAAATTGTAATTTGTTCTGATTCAGAGTTGGTTTTCCTAGAAAAAGTGGGGGAGGCACTTGGTCATGGACTGGGAAAGTGCTGATCTGTGCCTTAAAAGTGCCTTAAAATTTTGTATGGTATTCTGCTTCATTTTAATCCTGCAGTCAGGACACACATGCAGCATGTGGCCCATAGTTGTGTGAACTGGGCATAAATCGGAGGTGCTTCCCAATGTGCATCAGAATGGACATCTGAGTGCCAATGCAATCTGCCGGTCATAGAACGTGCGTCCCACTGAAAGCACTGAACTGCTGCTGAGGGAAACTGCAGCCCAGTAACATCTGAAGGGACTGTGCTGGCTATCCCTGGCCCAGCCCATTTATTAAGCTGTCATGGTCTGAGTGCTGTGAGGAGGCTCAGGCATGAAGACCTAGAGTAGAGCAGCAGTTTGTTCTGGGGAAAGGTGTTCTAGGAAAATCTTGGAGAAGGCCAAGTAGATGGTCTGGAGACTTCTGCTTTTCATATGTGGTGCTAAATCCTATGAGGTATTTCCCCCCCTTTGTGGTCCTAGCCTAATGCAGGCTTCTCAGGCAGGCCTGGGTTCTGGCACACTTCCAGGGCTTCCAGGAAATGTCAGTTTTCTCAAACAGACAGCCCAGAGCCATTATACAAGCGCATATATATATATATATCTGAGCCACCTCTACACTGCCCTGTAGGTTGGTGGCAATGCTCTAGAGAGCTAGAAGATTAACACAGAGGAAGGGGAAACTAGAGGAGCTCTCAGTGGCATTGTGATGGCTGTAGAGACAAGGCGTGGCTTCTGATTGTCATTGTCAAGACTTCTATCTGGATGGTTTTTGAGACACAATACCTTCACATGTGCTCTGCCCCTGAGCTTTAGCCTTTCCAGACCACCCTTGTTGGTGGTTGGACTTCCATATGCCCTCATCCCTAGTTTAACCCAGGACCATTCAGGAGCATGCCTAAATGAGGCTCAAAAGTGTCCTGTACCAGCTGATAGTGAGTGTCTGCAGTTGTCCACTCCCCAGCAGCTGTGAAATCCCTATATTATTTCACAGTACCATACCGACTTCTCAAGCTTTTTATCATCCTTTTTCTTAAAAAATAAATAAAATAAACAACCCATTTACTTCCCACTTCAAACTCACCCTGCAGTGACTTAAAATGAACAAACGAACACACATCAGTTTGTGTGCAAATCTGATATGATCACGAAAAGCACACCAAATGGGACAAAGAAGGAACAATAAACTGAGAAGTAAACATAACAAAGATCGCTAGAGAGGTTTACTGAGGCAAACCCAAAATCAGAATACAGGTCCTAGTGTGGTCGCCGAAACACAGAGTCGCCCCTCAATTTATTTAGATACATCTGTACATATAAATATCTTCAGCTCCTCATCGCGAGATGTGTTTAGGTAGTCGGCATCTGGGTCTGGAAGGCTCCCCTCCTCAGACACTGAATCGTCAGTCTCCTCTTGACACACAAGTGCAGCAAAGCAGTAGCTTCTCCTCATGGCACCAGTCTGAGCAGCTGTATCTCCTAAATCATCCACCCAGGTCTCCGCTTCTGTGTGGGTGGTAGAAAGAGAACAGAATGACAGAGCAGGCAGCTAGTGCCAAAGAATTTAGGAGTAGTAGCTTGGGTCATAGGAAATAGCTAGCGATGTCTATGTGAGGTGGCTGGGCTCTGCCTGCCAGTCAAATCTTCACTCAGCCATGAAACTTACTGGAGGATCTTGGGCCAGACGCTATTTCTATTGTGTAGATGAAGGCGGAGAAAGGGAATCTCTGCTATCTTATTTAAGCAACTTGGAGGAATGGCAGGATAATGATAGCCTAATGATGCAATCCTTGTGTATATTAAGGCATGCATTAGTTTGTACATATCTTTATATGTGTGAATCCAAGAGTGATGTCTGAACTTGGTAGAAGGGTGATCTTAATTGGTGGAAGCTGTCTTTTTATGACACACACACACACACACACACACACAGCCAGTTCTTGATCCTCTTTGGGAACAAGTACCCGGAGTGTATTTTGATTACATGTCAGTGACTGTCTCCTCAACAAAAACAAAAGCCTTGCTCACAAGCAATGTAAATATAGGAAGTGACTAATTCACAGAAGATCACCCTTTTCCCCTTGTGAAATGGAAATTTGCAGTTTTCCATTTCAAAGTAGAGGAGCTGTGATCTCGTGCAACTGTGCAGCTCCAATGATACAAATCAAACTCTCTATGTATGTGGGGATGAGGGGAGGTTGCTTCCAGACTGTCAGTATTTTGCAGGAAGCATTCAAACAGAAATTTAGGTTTGCACAATTAAGGTGGGTTAAATAACTCTGGTACAACAAATCAACTTTTTAAAGGACAGGAAAGTGATAGGAAAATGCACAAAGAAAATGCACACAAAGAGTGCCCAAGATTGGGGGGGCTGTCATGCATTGCACATGCAACAACATGTACGTGACATGTGTCACACACATAACGTTGCTTCATCGGGAGGAGGCTGGCATGGTGAGGCTTCTTCTCATGCACTTAGGAAGAGACAGTCACTGAACTGTCCCACACTTGGTGCAGCGCTCAGCTTCCTCCACCCCCCTTAATACTGAAGGGGCTCAGCCCCCTGCCAGCAGATATTGAGGGGGACCAAAGACAGCACCCTTAAGAGTCGGCACACCTGCTAAGAAGTGTGGGATAGATTGATAATGTGAAGGTGCGTAACCACGATGCATCTAAATCAGAATAAATGTGCATCAGGATGAAGCTCAACGAACAGGTTGCTTAGAGAAGCTGAGAGACTCTGTGTGTTTGTTTTGACTGTTGCCAGGCGTATCACTGGAACTGATCCTTTTTGATCATCCCAATATGAGTGGTTAGTGCAAGTCTGTAGTTCTGTTATCACTTGTTGATAACAAATATGGGTACATTTTCCCACCAAACCAGTTAAAGATCATGTAATAGCTGCTTAGATACATAGCATGGGTCAGGACTGCTTATGTTTGGGGAGGTCCCCCCCCCCCCCGATAGGATGAAAGTGAGCATCAGAAAGTTAAAAAAGATTATGGGTTAACATTTGATTAACATAAAATACGTTTTCAGCACAAGCTCACTGAGGTATAGCACTTTTCTCCCACCAGAAATGCAATTCAGCGTGAGTTGTTTCCTAAAGGGAAAAAGTACATGTGAGAATTTAGATTATTTTGTCTAGCACAGCTGCTGCCTGTACTGCAAAACGAGAGCTGCAACTGATGACAAGGTAATATGGAACTTGACACCTCTCTTGGCGTTCACCCAAGAACGCAGAATGTTTTAGCTGGCCTGTGGCATGTGATACATTTCTTAATTGTTGATAACATATAATTAGGACAATGTAAGCTAAGTTTAATGAAGGCAGTAAGTTAAACCAAAGGGCTTTACTATACTTGGACAGACTCTGTTAGTCTTGGAGTGTGACTCTGCAGAATAACATTTTATAAACAGGACAAAATAGCATCTTCTCTTCACAAACTATCAACCTAGAATTATGGCTGACACCCTAAGCCACAGTAAACGCTGTGTGCTGAATAAACGTCAGCTGGTCTGAAGGGGACACGGTGCCTAAAATAAACTTTTCTCCTTAAAGATGCTAAAGTCAAAGCCTGCATGGAAATTTCTGGCATGCAAAGGAATTATTATCTCATACTGAATACTCTCTGCTGATCTTTACAGACTTAGGCTGCAATCCTGTGCCCACCTTACCTGGGAGGAAAATGAACTGAACTCATTGGAACTTACATCCGAGTAGACACGTGTAGAATTGCACTGCACTTTGGTCTTAAAGGTAACATTATGATGGGGGATGATCTAGTCATGCTGAGCACTTCTGAAATACTGATGCCTCCGACTGAAGTGAATTAAGACTGCATAAAAATATATTAAAATCTGTGAGAGCTGAAACAGCTTAATCTAATTAACTCCTGACCACGTATTTGCATGGTGAGCTGCCACCAGGGCAGTTGCCGGGAGCAGGTCAGTAATAACTCACATGGCATCAGTGAAGTTAATTCTTTATTCAAAGAAACAAACAGCTCAGGAGACCAGGCCTAGTGAGCACAGCAACTCTTCCTGGTAGAGCTTGCCCCAATTAGACAGTTGTGAGGATTGAAGGTCCCTGCCTTCCCACAGTTGTTTAAGTCTCCTCCCCACCCATGTCCTTCCCAAGCAATCTGAAACTCCTTCAATGAGTTGATATCTGCTCCGCCCTCTTCATAACTCTTCTGGTCCTGCAAGACCATGGGGGAGGGGAGCTGGTCACAGCAGAATGGGGAGAGTTCCTGGACTCTTCTGCAGTTTACCTCATCTCTGTCTCCTGCCCCAGCTCCTCTCCTACCTTTGAGTCTGGACTGCCTTCTGCCACAGCATCTTCCTACTCACTAAGCCTTGTTACCTCTTCAGCTTCCGACACCACCTCCTCCCAGTCTTCTCTATCTTTTTCCTTTGACCACTCAATGTTGTTCCACCACCAACCCCCGGGCTCTGAGCCTTCTTCCCTTAGGGTTCCCCAACTGGTTCCTCCTATCACCCCTCTGCATCCAGCCAGTCCTTGACATGTGCTGTAAAAGCATGAGTCACTGGCACAAATTTGTGTAACTTACTTCCGAGTAGACATTTACAGAATTAGATCGTAAGTAATAATTACATCCTACTCTATTTCTATAAAAACACTATAGGCTAAACCTTGGTCTCCCACACCAACCCAATTCTTCCAATGCTTGCAAAAGATGCCAAGGCTCACAATTTGATGAGCCTTCTACGAAAAGAAATTCTTCAAAATATGATATTGAAGGGTGATTTGTAAATTATAACATGAAAGACACGTGGAAGCCTTCTTTGCGCATCCAGAAAATAGGTTAACTTAACACATGCATGGTATGAGGAAGAGCTTTCTAGCTCCACCCCCTCACCATTTCTGTCACTCTCCATGAGCCAGAAGTGGACCTTCTGAAGATGCAAACCTACTGAACTCATGTATGCTTCCTACATGTTTTAGAACTCTGATGTTCCAAACGTAGGAAGCCCACACAAAAATAAACTCCCTGCTTCAGAAAGTCACCTTCCAACTCAGGCAGGGTTGACAAAAACTGTGGGGGATAAATCTAGTGTGCTGTGCTTATCTTCACAGTGCCCCCCATGTTAAGTTACAAGCACCTGAAGGGGACAAGCTGTTTGATATGGTGGGTACCTCCTTGCAGAAATTCATTAGGAGATTGCCATACATAAGGGTTTTGCCAAGCTTGAAAAAGACTAAATATATTTGGGTGGGCACAGTGGCATGAAAATACTCTCCCAGCCTGTATGGTAAGCTGCTGCAGCAGCCATCAACACAGAGTAAGAGCTGCCAAATAGAGCAATTTAAAATAGTGACTATGTAGTGACTATCCAGCATGTGAGCTAGTCCTAGGAGTGGGAGAAAAATTTGATTCAGTTCTAGTTTGAAGGTGGACCGGACTAATTCACACTTTCCAAAGCAAGATGCAAACCAAAACAAAAATCGCACTTTTCTGAACTTTGCAGTGCAGTTCTCTGGCCAAATAGTGTGTACAAAAATGTATATATTAGTAAAAATAACATACCAAATAGCATTATATTAGGGCAATCTGCTCTGCACAAATTTGTATAATAGGTAAAACTGTATAAAAACCTGTGTCTACTAGGATAAATCCATATTTTTAAAAAAGCACAAGCTGATGTGTAAATGTGGAGAAATGAACCAAAAACTGGGGGAAAGTGAGAAACTGGGAGACAGTGAAATTAACAGATTTGCCCATCCTGAGTTGGTCTTCCCGTATTTCATTGAGTCATCCAGTTGAGCTACTGCCCCTCAGGTGATAAGCAACAAGGCTAGAGGATCCTACTTCCAAATGAAGATTATATACACATTTGTTACTATGATCTCCTCACACTCAGGTACTCTTAATTACTGTAAGCAGCAAATTCATTTCAGTGCATTCTTAAACATGTCTACTCAGGAGAGGTAAGCCTTGTTGGATTCGGATGGCTTACTCCCAGGAAAGTGGGTACAGGATTGCATCCTTAATGAACTGCTCATCTTGATGGATTCCTGTTATGGTTATTCAAACAATCCTTTGTTAAATAAAAATTTTTAAAAACCAGGAATAAAATGTGGCCAGGTATTCCAAGACAAGAGGGAAAATGCAATTATTTCAGTATATTAAAAGAAATCTGCACAGGGAATAAAGATGGTTCTGTTTATTCATTGCATGCTTTCGAAGGCTTTTTGCTCTTTAAATTTGTTCTAATGTTATCAGAATTGATTTTTCATCTCTGTAATCCCAGAGAGAATGCCTTTGGTGAAGCTCTCAGTGGTTACCTATAATGAAGAATCAGTTTGCAGAACAGTTGCTATGCTTGCTCTTAAATCCAGAGCTTATCTAGAAAAAAATCCAAAGGGCTAAATATAGAGGTATGGCATATATGAAATATTTATTTTGGCACAGGTGTCTAGAATACCAGGAAAGGGTGTTTGTTCGCATATTTTATAGACTTTAAAATAAACCTTGAGTCTT